ACCTACCGATTGCCTCCAACCATCTAATAACTATGAATATTATTTTTGAATATATGACCTCCACCTCGTTATTCCACTAAAAGCCGCCTTTCCTCCAAAACAAATAGTCACACACACACACACTGAGATATCCGAGTGATATACATAACCTCACTCACCAGAAGCAAACAGCTGGAATGAATCTTCAACACTAGGACACGAAAACTCTCATTCACGTGACGAATTTGATGCCGTGTACCATTATTAAGACATTAAATTGGTACGTAATGGTCACCCAGAGGTGTGTGCCAAACAAAATCTCATAGTTTGTGAGAGGGCTCTGCGATAATACCCGGACGCCAAGACCGAAGCAGATAGGCCACCCCAACCCAACCCCCGAGTCTCTTACTTGAAGTTTCATCCACAAGGTAGCGGAGCACGCACACAGCGTCAAGAGTTACGTCCCCATAGTTCACGTTGACCAGAACACGTTCATATGCCGTTCAATCCTTTCAGGATTCTAGAGACCATGTACACCATAAATTTGAAATCAAGGCTTTCCATCCAGCACCCATAGGTAGACCCACATGTCCACCAGCCCGGTCGTAAGCACCAGACACTAGAATTCACTCTTTCACTTTTGTGAGGAATACCCCTATGGCAGAGGCTAGAGAATGCGTGGTATTTAGAGAGAAAGACAGAAATTTACTCCCGCCCCCCCCCCTCTCGATAGTAGCTGGTATCCTAACTAGCACTAGCATGAGATAACTGAAAGGAGAGACACACCAGTGCACTGATGAGCTCATCAATCCCAAACAACCAAAACGTTTGTCCGGCATCTACAACACTACGATCTGGCTGGCTAGCTAGCTAGATAGATAGCTAATGTGAGTGCTATTCAACTACTCATCTCAATCAATCAGCAATTGGTACAACAGACCACCAGCGCAGTGTTTTGCTTGCTTTCTTGACTACCATTTATATAATCGAGAAGATGAATCCCACATTCTGATCTAAATATCTTTAGCTTCGAAAGGAAACTGTAGTGAATGTTCGCCTTGGACTCTGTTACTTGCAGATGACAATCTTTTCAATAAGGAGGACAATAATGAAAGCGAGAATGCACTTACATTTATAGGCTACCACGGAATATCTTCATAGAGTAATCCCAGTGGATAATAAAGGACAAGGACTAGAGTGACTGTAACAACCGGGACACTGTTATAGAGTGTAACTGCATACTTAAGACTGCTTGACAGAGACTGCAGATATATATATATATATCGGATCCAAATGAACATAAATCCAGTATGAACAACACAAGCTGTCAGTTTTTAGCGTTTAGCTAATAAAATAACTTTGTACAACTCAAGTCAGGTTGAACGAAAAACCCCAAAAAATAATGACTGGCCCTATTCAGGCAGTTAACCTGGGGTTCTAGTGGGAAGCCGTGACCAGTAGGGTACAGCAGGTTGAAGATGTGACAGTAACTTATCTAAGAAGACATTGCGAAATGGTCGCGCTATGTCGTGAATTGGCAGAAGTTAGAATTCAAGGACCATTGGATCGGGTCCCAGTGGGTCAATGGTCTACGAGCTCGCCTTGTAACCAGAAGGTCCTGGGTTCGAATCCCGGTGGGCGCGTACTGCTGAAGAGTCCCAAACTAGGACGAAACAGCTGTCCAGTACTCCCAGGTTTTCCAGTGGTTCTCTAACTGATGTCAGCTCATGATGAAATCCTCCATACAATTAAACAAAATCCCTACCAAACCAATACTTGAAAATTAATGAAATAAAAACACTTCTTTGCAATACACACACACAATCTATATACACACTTACTATTAACTGATAACATGTATGAATAAGTGAACCGACACACGATTCTCTCATTGCATCCTTCAATTCATTACTACGTTTCAACTCGTCAGTAGTCAGTTGAACATTTCTTGAAATGATACAACTGTCTAAGTCGATCAATATATCAAGGAATAGATCGACGGCAACTACATCAGAATTGTTTGTTTCACTGGCTTGTTTACCTAAAAAGACAGAATTGTTTGTTTTTTTGTTTTTTAAATAACATGTTTTGATGGAAGTAAACTTTATTGGACATTCAAAAGACGGAACAAAAAAGAAACAAAATACTCGTTTGCAAATTTAATAACAAAAACCATGTGTGTTAGAAAAATTACATTTTGTTGTTCAATGATAGTTGAAGGCAATCAGTAGGAAGTCCTGAATACCTACCTACCTAGGTTCTATGCATGTTGCCAAGCAAAAGTCAGCAAAGCGTATCTGCAATCTTGAAGGAACTCATGTCCCTTATGAGATTTGAACCTAGGTCACCTAGTGCTATCTGTAGTTAGAGACGATGCCACCACTGAGGTATTCTGGCTGGCAATCGACCTGCTGTAGGACTACATTGGATACTTTGATAGGTCAATATGCAGTAATTCATGTCATGGGTCGAGTTCTTTATTTTGGTGAATAAAGTAATGACGAAAAATTTATCGGTAATCTTGTCAACTCCTTAAAATATCAATAATATTGAAAGTAATCAGTTTCTTCCAGCAGATATCTCCAATTCCCTGATGAAGGCTTTTACGGAAGCAACTCTAAGAGCGACATTCTCTAGCCGCCCACTACTTCGGAGCAACGGGAAGGACAGACTTCCGCATATAATCACTTCAATGTGCATATATCAGTTCACCTGCTCTTGTGGAGCTAGGTACATAGGTCGTTCTATGCGAGTCTTATCAAGATGTGTTAGACGACATCATCCAGCATGGCTGCGAAGAGGAGGCACTGGTTTAATCAGAAGTGCAATAACTGAACACCTCGTCAATACCTGTCACAGAATCTCAACTGATTCATCATTCAGAGACATTTACAAAGTAAACAAAAATCTACCAAAGGCAGTGTGTTTGCGACTTCTTTGTACTGCAGAAGCTCTCGCCATATGCATCGAAAAGCCGGAGCTTGTGTTCAAAAGAAATTAGTCCAGCCTTTACAACTAGCATGGACCAAGTTTGGTATGTTCCCTTATCCTTCAGTTTTTTTTTTGGTTTTGTTCTCTGTGTGTGTGTGTAATTTTCTCTCTTTGTCTTCATTCAATTCATACCATTGTTTCCAGTTATAAAATCAGTTATTTTAAGTTTATTTCCATGCTCCTCTCGATCGTACTTGTTATCCGTTTAGAATAACCATATTACAATTATATTCTAATCCTGTGTAATTTTTTTGTTTCTATGACTCTTGTGATCTATATCCACACCTCCGAACTTACCCTTCAAGTTGAAAATTTTGATTTCAATTTGTTTCCATGCTCATTTTGTTCTATCCCTGCGTAACTTTTGTCTCTAAGGCTCTTGTAATTCATATCAAGTTGGAAATAATTATCACCTTTTATTCGCCTTCAAAATTATTTCTCCAGTTATCAAACATCAATTTTGCATACGTTGTAACTGTTTTCAAATCCTATGCAATCTTGTCTCTAAGTCCCCTGTAATCTACATTTGTAAACTTTAAACGTTCATATCAAGTTGAAAATTATTATTTCCTTTGTTACTAAGTGGAATTAAACAAATAATAATTGTATCCATGTGAACTAATCTACATAAATGCGATTGTACAGCTGCTTTTGAGAATGAAATCGCCGAAAAGATCAACATCTTTGCTGAGCTTCTTGTTCTTTTCAAAAATTATTATCAAGAATTGGCAGAAATTAGAATTGAGGACCCATTGGATTCTCTCCGAGTGGCTGAGTGGTCAATACGAACTCTCCTTGTAACTTGAAAGCCCCAGTATACTCTACTGGAGAGTCCCAAACAAGCAGGTAACATCTGTCTGGTGCACCCTGGTTATGATGAATGAATCTCTAACTGTAGCCAATTCGTCATTAATCTTTAAGGATAATTGCATCACATAGATGAGTCATAGTATTAAGTTTGTAAAATATGCCACTATTATAAATACAATGCATTAATGAAATGCAGAAAGCAAACGGAGTAAATCAGTCAGTGTTGTAATTACTAGCTGATATAGGTTCAGGTTGGAAAAGAGTAAGTGGTGCCATGCCAAACAAAAACATGGCCTCATCAATCCATGAAATCCTTGACAGTTAACCTGAGTCAGGTAGTGAGGGAGATGCAAACTTCCGGGTTGGGGCCCACCATCGGTACTCTAAGAATCAATGGCTGGAGACAATAGGTGACATGACATGGCTGGAAATCGTTGTCAATGGCTTACGCAGATATATTCAGTCTCTGTAATCTTTCACATTCCTTTCTACCATTACTCATTCTGTTTCACTCTTATACTTGTCAAAACTCTATTGATTCTCTTCACTCATTTTCTTGTCTACCTTTGTGTGCTATTCGGAACGTGGCAACTCGAAGTGCTGCACTTGGGTGCCAAGTTCTATGTTGAATCCAGACAGACAGTGTTGTAATTTAGACTAGTGAAACAGATTTTAACAAGTGATAAGGCATATAAGTAGACGTTAAAAAATAACTCAATATTAAACATTTATTTTCGACGACGCTTTGAAGACACAATTTATCTGAAACGTGTTATGGATTGGCACAACGCATTTCGCATATTCCGGTCAAATATGGTACGTGTCACACAGATTTACACAAAAATAGGGCAACACAGCCTAAAGGATTACAATTTTCATCAATAAATAGATCAAGATGGCTTGTGTACTAAGCTATAAGACACACACACACATACACAAACACTTATTGGATATGGGGCTGCCAAACTGAATTGGATGAAGTCATAAAAAGGAAGTAATAAAATAAGGGTTTGCCAAGATCAAGGTAACGCGATTCAATCATATAAGAAAAATGAAAGAGTAGTGCAGTTCACAACAATAAAAAATCTTTTTTTAAGATGAGCCGAAACGTACTAAGGAAAGAAAACAGAACATGATAGGAAACAGATGAAAGTAAAGATTTTAAAAGGTAAATTAGGAAATATTCGCACAGCGTAATATTTCACATCGGTGCGCATGACTGACTGACTGGTCTCAACAGAGAAATCTGCGCAGAAGTGCAGAAGTCTGAGTTGCTAAACTCTGTGAAACACACACACACACAAAAAGACAAAAGAGATTCCGAAGAACGATAGTAAGCAGAAATGTGAGGATGAAAGATTAATAACATAGAAGAACAAGAGAGTAAATGCATCTGCGTCAGCCATTGATAACAAAGTTTGAACCATACCACCGAATGTCTTCAGCCATCGCTTTTTAGCATCCTGAGGACCCAAATCAGACAGTCTACGCCTCCCTATGTCGCTCGAACTAACTGTCAAAGACTTCAGGGAATGATACCATGTTTTCGTTTGACCAGTATCAGCTGTTTTCCAACCTAATCCTACGTCAGCTAGAATTACCCGTCGAAGGTGATGGCTGGGCATACGTAATATGTGCCCTAGCCATCTCAATCAATGTAGCTGCACAACCTCATCGGTTGGCTTTTCCTCCTTACATAACACTAGACGCTTAACCTAAATATTACTCAAACTGTTATACCACCTAACATGTCAGGTAGAACGCATACACTTATGACTGAAAGACGGCCAAGGTGAGCATGAGTTTTCAACACCTTTTACACAAAACGTTTTACAACAAACAGCAAGAACAAATACGCGTAAATTTGAAAAGAAACCGAAGAATTGACCTGAAACACTTACCTGTCGCTTCCAGTAGAATTGATAACAGGTCATCAAATAAAGAGGACCAATGATTTGGGAAATATCGAACAATAGCTAAACTAATTAACTGACCGGCTTTCGCTTCAAAATATTTTGGTTTTCTGATTCCATCAGCAGGATTAATAAGACATCTTAACCACTGACAAGCAAAAGTAGCAAATTTTGGTGCTTCATTCGGTTGAACTGGTAGATTCGACTTTAAACTCTCTTCGATAGCTCTACAGCACAAAAAGAAGACGGCTGACTTTTGTTCTTCGGGGAGTGAATTTACATTTGACAGATTAGAGTTAGAATTCAGTAGAACAGATGTACACAATGGCCAGCCTTCTTCTGAAGCTAAGAACTGAATCAACTTTAGTACTTGTTTTTGACAATTTTCTTTCCCATCTTGCTGGCCAAAAACGTTACACAGCTCTGTAATACTGATATCCATTCATATATATATACACAGATGTGGATAGGTTTGAAAGCTAATCCAGAATTTACGTTCAACCTTGAGTTGCTGACGCCTTATATTATATAGACACCATAGAAAATGGTCTAGATAAAATTTAAAAAATGGAATCATTACATCAAAAGCGGTGAACAAAATGTATGGCATCATCGCAACAACACACCTCACTAATAACACAGAGAAACGCAAAAAATTTTGAAGCAACAAATTAACGACCACTACGCTTACCGCTCCAGGCCAGGTGAGCAACTATTTTAGTTTTATCAATAACATTGATGTGGTATAAATTGGGGACCAAGAAATGTGCCACACCAAAGTTATAGAAAAACTGAGAAATACAATAATTACGGAACACTGTAAGGGAAGATAAGTGCACCTATCGACGACATTCAAAAGAACATTCGTATTGCTACCATAAAAGTAAGATAAAGTGCAGAACGCGTGCTACTGATTTCAATTTCGAGCCACATATCATATCCTCTCGCTCCAGAGCATCACACTGTAGTGACCCATTTTATTACTCATCATCGTACTATACTTTCATTGTGTAATTGTACTTTGATTTGTTTATTACTCTAAATCTTGCGTGTTAGCAATTGATACAATTGTACTCGCTCAAGTTTTGAATTTTGACTACGGCGAGGATACACATTTCTACACCTTCTCAAGTGTCTTCTGATTTACGTTGTGTGTGTCGAGTAAGCACAACGTTAGGACACAATTATAAACGAGAAGAAGTATTAGGATATACGTATACGCTAGTCTAATCAAAATATAGCAGCACAACAACTGGTGAGCCCGACGACAACTTTTTGACCCCAACGATAACTTGTGACCTCGACGCATCGTTACACTTGCTGGATTAATAAAACTCTAACTTTCGTGGATCTCTATATTTACTAGACATTTCGAACTCATTCTTGTGCTATCTCATCGCACAATCTGCAGGCACAACTCAACAGTTCTTCCTTAGTCCTCAAGCTTCAGCATTGTGTACAGGTGGTCAAACACTCTTGCAATAGTCGGAAACTCTATGTACTCAAGCCGGTCCTACAGCTGTTCAATTACAACAACAGTTGACCCAATCACCTCAACAACAACAACGGATTCAAGCACAAGCTCATCAGTTACAACCAGCTCAACAGCCAGCTTATATCCAACAACATCAACAACCAACAATGATGGCAACTGACGTCTCTGTCAGCTCCATTAAAAGTCATGGCTGTTGGTCCTAACGGTCAGTTGATTCAAATCACTAGTTTACCACAGTTTATGCCAACTGCTCTTGTTGGAATGACTATCAATTAACCAACTGCTACTCTCCAACCTCAGCAAACATCAATTCAAGTTACTCCTCAACGCCGAGTAACAACACCCCAGCAACAACAACATACTGACGGACGTTCACTTTCAACCGTGTCAGCAGCAGTAGCTACTACTGCACTCTTCTCTGGCACAGCCATCTCTTCTTGTACAATTCCACTTGTACAACCAGCTTTCATGGAAGTAGAGGTAACTGAATGTTTACCCAAGTCATTCCCATACTTCCTTATTACTATACTATTAACTGTATGTTAAGATATAAATCTATTCTGTAACTCTTTACAATAACAACCTCATTATTATTCTAATAATAATTTTTCTGCTTTTATTGTTACATGTTGCACAACTTTCTAAACATTTTAGTTCCTTTCAAAGTTGTTGACATTTTCGAATATATACAGTTATAATCGAACCACAGAAAACTAAAAAGCCTCAATTCGGTTTTCATATTTTTTTTGTCCTTGTAATTTACAATATCATTCCGAATACAGGTAAACTTCATTTACCTGCATTCTACGGAGGGGCTATTGTAGTGACCCATTTTATTACTCATCATCATCGCCCAATAACACAACCTCTTGGACACCACTACTTAGGGGGAGTTGTGATGTAATAACACATGCTAACTCAACAAAAATAACCTTCATCCCAACGTACTGCCTCATGCGGTGACCTGCTTTCAGTTTTTTCTATTTAGTCTCAGAGTCAGTAAGCAGAGAACCATAAAGGGAAAGCTGCGATGACATTTATAACACACCGAAGCCAGTGCTTCAAGAGGACATCGTTTATTGAAATGTCATCTGCGCTTTGCCTAAACGCACGCCACAGGACCTCAGAATTCTACGGTGGGAACTTGTGAACTAGTAGGAAAACATGAAAGCAGCTGGATTTCTCATGTGAAATTTCAACAGCCTAAAGTCTAACTGCTTAAAATATTCTTCACGTGCCAGGCAGCGTTTAGCTGCCACAATTTAGCTATCTGCAGTGATTTCCAATTACTTCAAATTGTGATGAAGACAAAGAGGGTAGGGATATGGCTTATTAGTGAGAATACAAAACATTAAGTGCTAGCACAGAAGACAACATAGTTGTGCAAACAACTGCATATTTTTCATATCAGAAACTCTATTCCTTGACAAATTCTAAATGCAGGAGAGCATTATCTATCAATACACATCACTCCCTAAACAAAAAATAGAAACCATTTCTATGATCTGACCAAAAATCTAAACACTTTTAAACCCAAAAAGTAGTGGAGAGCAAACCGCTGAGAACCGTACTGATGCTTACAATTAGCACCGATTAGCACTTCTGAGCACTAGGCAAAGGACGTATATACCACCAGGTAAATTTTTATTTCATCTAACTCGTAGTTTACTGTGAGCAGTGTCTTGTAAATTCCTAAGAAGATTCTAAGTCTAGGATGTTCCAATGGTTTTAGGTTGGAGTTAATAAATTAGTTGTGTATACAAAATAAATGACGGTATCAGACTGCATAATCACTGCATCAATGGCCTAGTATTTGCCACAAAATTTGGTGAGATATACATAATTGATGCTCTTCAAAATCAACCAGAAGTTTTTTTGAAAAATCACTTCTACAATACAATGTGCAGCATGATGACAATTTTTCATCCTGCTGACTTATAATTCATCCGGATGATTCGGAAAGTCAAGGAAATGAACGCCTTCAGCGTAGTGTGAGACCTGCAATTTGTGTCTGATGACATTTCCCTGACTCTAATAACTACAAATCTCTTCTGACAAGAAAATCAGTTAATACCTGCTACGACAACTAACAGACATCAGCGAGCAATATTAAGACAGATGTAGTGTTGTGTTCGGCGAGCAGTCGATTCACTGAAGTCGGAGAATGCACATTCCACAAAACAAAGTCGGAATGGGACGTGAAATATTTAATCAACCCACTCCTGCCTGTGGTTACTAACGCCAAAAACGTGGAGCAACCGGCTAGTGCCAGCTGATACTATACGACATTTCTGTGTGATGCAAGCAAAACCGAATGCTTGGATCAATAAATATTACAAATATGTCACAATCGCAATCTCTCTTAGTTCCACATAAACTCGAAGACGTAGAAAGTCAAAGGAGCACAAAGGAAAAGAATAGTTACCACCGCTGGTTTATTTAGGTCAATAAAACCTCAGATGTTTTTAAACCATATAGGCCGTTCTCGGAAATTTTACGAAGTGCATAATTACGACAAAATAATTACCTTAATGAAGAAAAACCGAAACGTTTAACCAACCACGAGAATACAACTCAAGTCAAGCGCGCAGCTCAATATTCAACACGTGGTACTACGTATAACCACGAAAATATGAGTCAGTTTAGGTCTGCTCAAGTGCTTTCCGGTAGCATAGGGGCGTTTGAAATCTCTTGCCGTCTTCACTCAACAAGAGCAAACTCACTTCGTAGATTTTATCGTATCGATTTCAGTAAAGTGTTTCAGCTTGCATGTGAAAATTAAGGTCAGTATGGTTTCCAGTGGCACTTATATAAGTATACTTTGCTTCAGTCACGATGCAGCTTGAAAAATTGAAAATGGACCCAGGAGATCTCCGTGAGTTAATATCCCGCTTAATGTACTTTATAAGTATGAATGGATTACTGAAAGGTTTGGCAAATGACGTGGTCTATTGAGAACCGTCTCGATGAGTATGAAAGAAAGCGTTACGAAGGAGATTTAGGAAGACTGAGTCTTCTTGAAAAGGCTGACTAACTGCTGACTCTATCTGAAAGCAAATACGCGAGATTTTGTAAGTCATTTACCCCACTAGTATGTTGATGAAGTCATGACTGAAGTAATTCAAAGGTGTCCTTATGTAAAATGTGCTATTTCAGTGGTCAATACAACACAATGAACGATGTGAAAATACCCCCTCCCAAGGAACTGCTTTTGACACTTGATATATGTGAATATTTCTGCTCTTCTTGAGGACGTCGCCTTCTACTCAGTGCCTTCAAAATATTATGATGATATTTACCACTAAGTTTCATCCCGCGCCCTTGTTTCCCCTGAGACTTAATCTTAACGCTCACCTGCTCTACTGTGAGCTGCTGGACTCTGTATAACGAAACGATGTTTTGCAAGTCTTGGCATTTTATCTGATAGGACTGAAGGTTAAGCCGTGGAGTGGTTGCTTATCTTCTGGCCATCTGCGCCAGATGGTCACTGCTAGATTTGACTATTGTGGAATGGGTTTTCGTTCCATCCTTCTGGGAATCTTAATAAGCACTCACTAATTCGTAGATACTTATGTATTTGGAAGTTGTGTTTAGTTAACCACTTTTACTTAATAGCAGGGAACGCTTTGGTAGTACAGTCGTCCGTTGCATTTTTATAATAGTTTGCATTCTTCATACACTGCTGAAACAGTCAGCACACTTTAAGAAATGGTTTAACTCATGAAAATTTGCCTGATATCTGAACTCTACTTGAACAGGCTATAGGCATCGCCCCTTAAAATGTTACTAATGTTGAAGAACTATCACTAATATACAGCAGGGCTAAGCAAAAGTACCAAAGTCTATTAATAGACTTTAATGATGAAATGTGGTTCAGTTTAAATCGCTGACACCTACAATGGGAATTAACTTTGACACGTACCATAGAAAGTGGTACATCAATTATTAAGTCCACCACGAAAGCTATTAAAACTAATCACACAAGCATTATTACGAACAGATTAAAACACCGGCAATGAAGTAATGAATAATTATAAAGGAATCATGAAATCAACCCTAATAGTTTTAAACTTGTAACAAGCAATCACAAATGAGTGACCAAATTAGTTTCAATACTTGTAACAGAAGTGCGACACTTCAGGTTACCGTACTATACAGAATACGGAGATACACTAAAGGGAGGAAAAAGAGATTCAAAAGAACTAAAAGGAGAGAAAATATGGGAGAGAAATAACGATGAGGTGGAAAGATGGGAGAGTTTGGTGGATATGGGAGATAACGATGGGTGGATTTGTATGCGTCCGTTTTGAACTACTTTGAGTCATATGAACAGAAACCTTCAGGGAGTGGTTCTTTGCATCCCAAGTATCCCAACCAGGTAGTCTCTACCATCCTACGTGGTCCCAAACAACTGTCAAACACTTAATGAACTGACCTCTGACCTCTTCTAACCCTTTTTGGAACAACTCTACGTCATCTAAAACTGCTCAGAGAGGAAGGCGATGGCGAAGACTGCGCAATGTGTGTCCTGGCTACTTCAGTCTATCCACCTTCACAAGTGCATTGACTGACATACACCCCCAAACTAATGATCCGCTCCTAGCCTCAATATTATCCACAATAACGTACAACTTAACACGTGGGACAGAGCACAGACATTCGCAGTCGAAGAAAATTGACCTTCTCATATCTACCACTTTCAATCTCCATGTCTCACTGAAATAAAGGGGAAACAGTGGGTTGCAGCACGGCAAACACCTCCTCTCATCAATAACTGGATATCACCTCTATATTTGGCATGACGTGGGTCGGCAAATGACACGAACCTCCTGTATCCATGCTCACATTTCGCTACCAATCAGTCCATTAGGTACGAAGTTCACGAGTTGGTATAGTGGTAACACGCCCTGCCACTTCACTCTCTGTCTTTAAACTAGGAATTGGTCAGAATATTCCTACATCATGACTTTACACTTGACAAGGGCGAAAATCAAGACTTTGCCCTCCTAACAGTGCAATCCATTAGTCGCTCCTCCTCAGCTTCTACATGGCAGTTCAGGCTTGAGTATAAATCCTTTGTTAGTGCAACACACTGCAACGGTAAATAATTTTCCGAAATGATAAACCTACATAATTCGTCACTCGAAATTGGATTCTAACATTCACAGCTTAAGTGGGCTTACTGAGCTTAGCAGTTAGCAGTCACGAACCCATGCCACTTTATTACGGTCGTTCGTGTGTGCACGATCTCCAGCCAGCTAAGCGACCAACATCGCCTTGCGATTTTTATTCTGAAACATTTCGTATTTTGAACCGTCAGTCTGGTGTTTTGATTTCTTTGCTCTAAGCAGAACAAGTGAGTGATGGAAAACTTGCACTTGCAGGCATTGTAATTTGCGTAAGTGGCAAAATCCCTTCTCTCCTAAAATATCCTCTTGGTATTTCCTTCACAATTAAAGATTACCCTAGCACCTCTTGATCACCGCCTTCACTTCAAGAAATTTGACAAGTGATCGACACTAACGAGTATAAGTTCCGGAAGTCGTAGAAGAGTGAAGATATGGTCAAAACAACATCTTTCTGGCCTATAGCTCGACATCTCAATACTTGTTGGGGAAAGATATCCACTAAATAACGCATCTGAAGCATACATATATTTCCCATGAACAAATATAGCAATACTTTGCAGATTATTTCAATAGTGTTGAGCTATCAAACTCCAAATGAACTGGAATTAGCCGGGTGAACCACCTGCCCTTTTGCGCGGCATGGTTGATTCGAGTTGGGGCTAGTTTCCGTTGTTTTGTCCAGGCACATAGAGCCGATATAACTTCGGCGCTTACTTGGGTCCTGCCAGGTGAATTTATACAAGAAGTTTTGCTTGATACTTTTCCCGAATATGGACGCATTGTTTGCGCAGGAGAAAGCTTAAACCTGTTGTCAATGCAGTGATTATTTGGTACACCGAGTACGCTTCGCGTACATTTTGGCGACTAGCTTTTCAAAAATTTCCCTGCAGCTTGATAGTAACCTGTATTCGGTAGTAAATTTTCCGATCAACTGTTGTGCAGCACCTATTTCTGTTGCAGGAACCTGAGAATAAGGTTGATATCGGATTCGTACTTCCCCACTTTTGTATGGGGCTTTGATTCTAAAAGCCAACGGAACTCATGGAAAGAAGCGAAGATCAGTGTTCCTATGAACACCTGCAGCATTCGCTGTTTTCTGCCAGAAATTTTAGCTGAGCTAAATGCACAGTACGACGTCTTACAACACTTTGCTGGATTCGGATAACTTCAACATCGTCGCGATCAGCTACGTAGAGACATCTGAGGTGTGCGTCGTTTTGTCCTGGTACAGCGTTTGCTTTCATAAACTTCCTGATTTTTGCTGTTTTCCTGGAGCTACATTATGTGCGCTTGTACGAAAATCTGCAGAATTATTTAGGAATCATATAGATGTAGAGTCGACGGTTTTTAAGGCTGTGGACGCAAAGTTTAGAAGCAGTTGCTTTATGCACTTCTGTCGGAAATATTGACTGACGTAATCGCACACTATAAAATTCTACTATTTCTTACCATGTTAACTCTTTAATTATTATATTAATAGTAATATTGATATATACATCCTGTGAACCCTTGTTTCCTCTTTTTGTATTTACTCGGCAATTTTGGTGATCTCATGGGATTCGTTACTGAAGAAAGTTGAGTTGTGGCGTCGTTAATATGTGGTGCATTCTTGTTCTGATGACAAATTTCTTAGTAGTAATTATTATCAGCATCTATTTGTTGGAGGGATAGTGTATAACGAAGCATACTAATACAGTATTCAAGGGTTAGAACTATCCGTTTAAATTTAGACAGGTGCTTACGTAAGGGAAAATTGGTACCTCAGAAATGAAAACATCAAATGAGTGATGAAGTTTTAACATCGTCTACATGCAAACAGTTCAAGTTATACATTTAGAAGTAATAGTAACTTGTTGATAATTTAAGGGATGTTATGACTGATAGGAACAAAGGTGGGACAGTATAAATGAATGCATGGACAAGCGACATCAACTGACCAGTATACATATATTTTGGAGTAAACCAAAATCGGGCAAATTATTTAGAAGAAAAGATTAGAGCATACACCTGAAACTACTAATTTAGTGAGTGATTAACGTTGTCTTTAAATTAAGACTGAAGGTAAATGGCTTATTGATTATTATTATTCAAACACGTTACAAAAAGTGCATCCAAATACCAGTTCACTCATAATTCTGTCCTTTGGATAACTTAGCAGCATGGCGTTTACTTTCAGTTTCGAATTACTAAGTAAAGGTGAACATCAATAATACCTTCGTAAAAAGACTTAATTGTTGCCAGAGTAAGTTGGCATGTTAAAATCTAGAAAATATTCAGATCTGGAGTTGTCTTTGCTACTACCACAACACCAGATGACTTAACCAATTACAGTCGCAAGGGGCAAATAAGTCTACCGAAGATAGTCTGTTCCTGACATTTAGATGTCGTAGTATACCATGAAGGAATAACTATATCCATGGGTTCATAAGATCAGACGCACGATATTAATTCAAAACCAGGTAACTTC